AGAAAGCAAGAGTCGTACGAGATCTGATAAAAATAAAGAACTTGATGCTATCACTTGGAACCCCAAAACTAACCTTAGCGACCAAAGCACGTACACGTTTACACTGGAAATTTCAAAGAATTGAATCAACTCCAAAAAAGTTATGCCGTCATCGTTTTTGGTGACCACTTTTGCAGTCGATTCATTTGGAAATTTACAGTGAGGTTATAATAACAATTAAGCAACAATATATATAGCATTTGTATATAGACAAAGAGTAACAGATGATGAACTGCATCGCAATACAATTAAGTAACAGTATATATAGCATTTGTATATTAGGGCAAGAGTGACAGACGTTGGACTGGTAGTACAATTAAAACCGGTTTCAGACGAGCAAGTTTTCTATGACAAGTTTTTATGTGACAAGTTTTATTTGCCAAGTGCACGTGTATATATGCAACAAATTTTAGATGTCAAATTTTCATATGACAAGTTTTATTTACTGGTGCGAACGTGTCAACAAGTTTACTTTGACAATTTATTAGTGGCCAGCTGGCCAATCACATCAAATGCTCGGATTACTTTGACAAGTTTTCTTTGTTGACCCATAGAGACGAACAAAATTTGTACTTTGACAATTTTTTCTAGCTAGCATGCTAGCTTTTGAACAACTGCACTTGTCATAGAAAAACGTGTCAAAGTTGCGCGTACAGACGAGCAAATAAAACTTGTCACATAAAAACTTGTCATAGAAAACTTGCTTGTCTGTAACCTGCTTAAGTAGCCTAACAATATACATAGCATTTGACATTTGTATATTCATAAATTTCATGTAGTTTTAAAGCAGTTAATGTTAAAATTTTGAGACGTGTACAATATATAGCTAGCACTAGTTACATATTCATAAATTTCATGTAGTTTTAAAAGCAGTTATTGTTAGAATTTTGAGAAGTGTATAAAATACATAGCTAGCACTCAGGGCCGCACAGAGCAATTCGGGAGCCCGGGCAAATTTTTAATTCAGGGCCCCTATTTAGGGGGAGTAAAAAAATTTTCTCAGACATATCCAAAAAAAGGTTCAAAAAAATTTTCCAGACAAATACCAGCAAAATTCAGGTCTAAAAGATTTCTCTTATACCATGACTTATATAAAAAACGTTCCAAATTATTTTTTTTAATTACATTTTGCAGGTCCCCCCCCCCTTTGCAAATTTTGAGGCTCAGGGGACTGGGGCACCATTGCCACCTTGCCCCCCCCCCTCTGGGCAGCGCTGCTACCACAAGTTGCATATCCATAAATTTGTGGTTTTAAAAGCAGTTACTGTCAAAAGTTTGTGATGTGTTTATTTGTCCATTAAAGTTAAAGAACACTGAAATTATCAGCACTGTGGAGGCAAATTTGTTCTGTAGCCCATGATGTATATTTATAATGGTCTAATGAAAGAACTCATTTGGTAGTCTACAAACCCATATTTCATTTCCCATGCTGGATTCATAGACTTCATAGTGATAAATTCATATAATACTGTAATTTATACTATAGTTTTTCTCAAACTTTAACCTCTGATTTTAAACTCTTATCTTTGACAAAAGATAAAAATACATTTAGTGGCTGCCGAGTTCATTTGTGGGTGATTAATATATAAACTGGCAAATTATTTTGACAAACGGTTACAAACCTTTAAATTATTTTGGCCCTGATTATCATCGGTACAATCATTTATAAAAAGCTATATATATAGTAGAAATTTCCATTCGGAAGTGAAGAACAGCAAAATGTGCATGAGTCTTGGGTTTTGCCAGAATGACCACATGTTACAATTGGGTTACGATTACAATTTGGTAAGAAAACTTTGAAAAAATGGCAAATAAGGCAATTTCTTTGAAAGTCAATGTTTGCTTGTTGTATGAGAAAGTACAGGGACGCCGGAACGATAATAGGGCAAAGGGGGGCGGACGCACACCAAGGGCACCTTTACTGAAAAATTTTTTTTCACTGCAAATATTTTTTTGGCGACTTCCCCCCCCCCGTCGCCAAAAAAATTTCGGTCAGTATACCATTTTAGGGGGGTCAAAAAAATTTTCCGGACATACAAAAATTTTCCGTGAAGCCAAAAATTTTTCCGGATATCTTAAATTTTCGCCATTTCTTCAAAATATTTTTC